TACGGCAAAACTCCTGAAACGACTTCGACGTAAAACACGTACCCCTATCGGATATAATCCTGTCCGGGATACCTCGTTCGTTGCAAAACTTTTTGAGTATACGGGTGACGCCACTAGCGTCGGTGGTTCGGCACGGGTACAAATGCACAAATTTCGTGAGATTGTCGGCTAACACCAGCAAATACTTATTATTGGAGTAAGTGGTTTCGAATGGCCCCAGGTGGTCGACGTGAACGATCTGAAAAGGTCGTTTTCCCGGCGGTATCGGGTTCAACAGTCCGGGCCTCTTCCCGGCCGGGCGTTTGTGCGTGAGACAATCGATACACATTTTTATGTGTTGACGGACGTAGCGACGTAGGCACGAAAACCAATAATCCGCGGTAATTCGCGCGACGGTCCTGTCGGTCGAAAAGTGACCTCCGTGATCGTGGGCCTCGATGACGATGCCCTTCCTCATTGATTTCGGTATGACGAGTAACGACCGTCCTTTGTAACGACGGTACAAAATACCTGAAAACAGTTCGTAGTCTTTAATTTCGTTTTGCTCCGACTTGGTAAGTTTCCCGTCGCACTCAAGGAGCATGATCAGTTTACGGGAATTTTCGTCGACCTGCTGCATGAATCGGACGCGCTCCTCCTTAGTAAGAGCGACGCACACCTCGAGTCGTTCGGTCACCTCCGCGTCGACGGACGTCGGATCCTTTTCGTCGTTGATTGCTCGGCTAAGAGCGTCAACGTGTGCCATACGTGACCCTGGGCGATACTTTATCACGAAGTCGAACTCTTGCAGAATTTCAAACCAGCGTGCTATTTGAGGTTTGGAGGTTTTGTGGATGTTCAGATACACCAAAGCCTGACAGTCGGTGTAAACAACAAATTGTATGCCTAGCAGGAACTGGCGCAAGCGGTTGAGGGTCCAGATTATGGCATATAATTCGAGACGGGACGAGTGGTATTTGGATTCCGCTGTTGTTGTTTTCTTGCTTACCGCGTACACCATATGTAGTGAGGTAGTCGATGAGCCTTGCAGTAAGATGCCGGACAAGGCGTGGCTGCTCGCGTCCGTATGCACTTGTGTAACAGGGGCGTTCGGATCGTACATTTGTACGACAGGTTCGTCGCATAGGACTTCGCGTAATTTAACGAATGCAGATTCCTGTTCATCAGACCAAATAAAAGGTACGTCTTTACCAGTCAGATGTGTAAGCGGGGCAGCTATCTCCGCGTAGCTCACGACGAAGCGTCTGAAGTAGCCCGCCAGCCCCAGAAATCGACGTACTTCATGTGCGTCTCGCGGGCGCGGGAATTCAGCAATCGCGTGCACTTTTCGTCCCGGCTTGACCGTTCCTTCCGAAATACGATAGCCCAGGTAGTCCAGCTCGCGAGCGCCGAACGTGCATTTTGACGGTTTAAGGGTAAGGTTCGCGGCGCGTAAAGCACCTAGGACTCGGCGCAGGTCGATCATCATGCGATCCCAGTTTTTCGCCGGTAGTATGATATCGTCCAAGTAGGTACTAACCACGCCTTCGCTTTTCAAGTCGTTAAATACTATTCCCATTAATTTTTGAAACGTCCCGGGTGCGCCCTTCAAGCCGAAAGGCATTCGTTCGAACTTTGCAGTCGCCTCCTCGGTTACGAACGCGGTCTTTTCCTTAGCTGCGGGAGTCAGCGGTATCTGTAAAAAACCGTTCGACAAATCGAGGGAAGTAAAAATCACTCCGCGTGACAAGGCCGCTAGCTGTGAGTCTACGTCGGGCATAGGGTACGGCTGTGTCTCTGTCTGTTTGTTGAGACGTCTGTAGTCTACACATAGACGTTTCTCGCCCGACGACTTGTTCACGAGTAACACCGGGCTAGCGTACGAAGAAGTCGAATCACTGATTATTCCGGCTTCTCTCCAGTCGCGCAGGGTGTCTGCAATTGTGCGGCGGTCGGTGGGCGACGTGCGGTACGGTTTTTGGCTAAACGGTGCACTGCCCGGTGTCTCGGCGATATCCATTGAGATGACGCTTGTGCAGCCGAGCTCCATGATATTCTTTGCAAAAACATCACGGTGTTCATTCAGCAGCGTCACAAGCGACTCGCGTTGAATCTCGGTAACGTCGGTATCGATCACGACGTCGTCGGCAGTAATCGGTTCTTTCGCCGGACGGACTGGTTCGGTTTCGGCGACGTATGGCTTCAGTGTGTGTCTCGGCTAGCGCGTCAGTCGATACACAGCTGTTCGTTTCGAACACTAGCTCACCACCCTGTTTAAAATAGTTGACGTGTGGTAGGTTGAGCCACGTTCGACCGACTAACACGTCCACCGGTAACGAGTGGTCCGTCACGACTTTCAGCGGGTGGTCGGCGGCCAGTACGTCGTCGATAATTACATCGCCGTCACCCTCACCGATCGTCATGGTACTGGGTTCGACAGCGTTTCCCACGGTGTAGAGTGGACAAACGGTATTACGTATAACAAGGCCACAAGCACGGGCAATCGACGATCGAATTAACACGGCGGAACTCCCGGTATCGATCAGCCCATTCACGGCTTGGCCGTTCACGTACACGGTTTTAATAAACGGATTTGTCTGTTTCGCACTCACGGTCGTCGCATCGGCGCGATATGCTTGGTCGGCGGTCGACGCGGTATCGGTGCGGTCGGAATCGGCGGTCGGACAACGACCCCGAGTGTGCTGATCCGAATGGCAATTGGAGCACTTAACCGGGCGTCGAGGTTTCGGACAATCCTTCGAGATGTGCCCCGCGCCCCGGCAGTTATAGCAATAGACCAGCGGTCGGTCTTTCGTCGAGCTCGACGTCGATGCGGAACTTGACGTATGCGGCTTAGCGGTTGCCCCAGTTGTAACTTTGGGCGACACGATGATCGTAGCGGAGCTCGTTTTTGATCTTATTGATTCATCCGTGGACTTCTGTTTGACCAAGCGAGACTTGTTAGTCGACAAATTTAACGACTCGAATTTTTCCTTACGCTTCGCGCGCATCCGCTCCCAATCTTGGATATCGGAAAGCAGATCGTCGCGAGTGGTGTGTTGACGACTATACACCCAATCGGTTAGCGGTTGAGACCTCAACCCTTCGAGGACGTATTCGCGCGTATCGAGGAATGACAGATCGAGCGAACGGCACAGCCCGACTTTAGCATAAAAATAGTCGATCGTCGGCTCGTTCGGCTCTTGTACGCGTGACTCGAGCTCTCGCCACAGGTCGGCTTTGCGCAGTGTGCGCACGAAAGTTCGTCTAAAGCTTTGGACAAAGACGGTCCAGTCCGAAAACTCTTCAAGTAAAAACCAGCTTCGCGCGGCTCCAGTGACGTGCGAACGGACGTAAAGCAAACGGTGTTGCAGTGGCCACTGACTAATTTGGGCCAACGCGTCTATCGAACTTATCCAGTCTTCCGCCCGGCTGCTGGACTCATGACCGGTGAATGACCAAATCGATGTCCCGACGTCAGGGAGTATACGGTAATCGACGGACGAAGTCGGCGCCGAAGTAGCACTAGGTGTGGGAGAAGACTGCCTCGAGGCGACAGTCGATTGCAACTGTTGGAGTTGCGTGGTCAAACTCGCTACAGTATTGAACAGCTCAAGATATGTAGGTGCCGACTGTTCAGACACGCCGTTTGACGGGTTTTCGCCACCCGCAGCGGTATTCTGATTCGGCATCGAGTAGTCGAGATTGAACGATTATAATCACGGACGAAACACGTACGCGATAAACAATTTGAGATAATAGTACGGGATGACACCACTGTTGGCCCGTTTATCAGCCAACAGTTCTCTTATCTGATAACGTCGCGATTCCGGTAACGATGCGAGCGCGGTTGCGGTAACGGTGCTAACCTCAAACAAAGTCGTCTAAGGTTAACCGGCGGCACTCGGCACAAAAACCACGTGTTCGGGTCGAACTTCACGAAAACGAAAATGGCGCGGGAGCACACAACGCACGTGATAGCGTCGGCACTTAGCAAACTTCACGTAACGGTGACAACGCACGACGACGGAGCGAATTTTCGTTAGCGCGAACTTAACGAGACGGATCCGATCGGCTCTTGAACGAAAGAGACGGATCCCACTTCTGAATTGTAAGCGAATAAATAATAAGGAAGGTGGTGTCAGGATAATGAGTCTAATCAACAACGTTTTAGTTAATTAGCGATGAATATGGTTTATTTAAGAAAACTATAAAAAACACATGACGGCTTAGAGCTAACGGTTTACAGCTACGGCGGTTCGGTGCGCGGGCACGTGCGTCGAGCCCGGCGTATACGACGAAACAGGAAGCAGCAGTGTACTCACTGCTCGGAGACGGTCTGGAAGGGCCGTCCGACAGTGTTGCCGCGTTAGGCAAA